CATAATTAGCATTCATTGCTGAGTGTAAAGATCCCAGTAACCCTCAACTCTAAGTCCTGAGTAAAAGAGTATGTTTGTGCCACATTTTAAATATTCACCTCCAGGTGTTACTGAGATAACCCCATCACAAGAATAGGCTAGTTGAATGGCCAACCCGGAATCATAAAGCCTGCAGATATAGATATATCCAAGTCTTGAGGTACTCTATCCTACATGCATCATCATCATCTATATTTCTTTACAGTGTCTCTAATGTTGACGAATCGTCATAATGTTTTGTGTCTCAGCCTCATCAGGAAGATGGAAAGTGGGAGGGGAAATCTTAACTTGCTGTGGAGGTGTGAGAGCACTTAATCACCCCTCCCTCCCTTGTTCCTGTCATGTATGATGAATCCCTCCGATGATTCCCCGCAGTGCCGGATTATCGCATGGTACACTGAGGCTCCTATTTCAATCTTTCTGCATCAAAGGCGTTCAAAATGTCTCCCCAGGGTCATCACTCAATCTCCTACTCCGATAGCTGACCTCTGAACAAGCCTCAGGGTGACGAACAGACGATCCAAGAATACAGAGAAAGATATTGTTCTTAGCATGTGTGAAATAATCTTTAAAATGAAGGCATATAGAATCAATATTTTGCATCAACAATGGAACACTTAAAGGCAGGGTTGTTAATTTACTCCAGATACACTTTTTAAGATTTTGGTTGAAATTGTCTTTAGGTCCTGACAGAAATTAATAATTTTCGAAAATCCAAGGATCTAATTCTTGATATTGACAAGATCCAAATGATAAAATCGGAGTTACATTGTGGTGTAGGCAAACTGGGAATTCACCTGGAGCAGCACAATGGTTGTCCAATGTGCTATAGGTCAGAGCAACACACCTGTATGCGTTTTTTTTTCAAAGTCAACAACATCGACAGCTGTTGTGTTCTAATCAGCATCAAAATCATCCTAAATATCGTCATCTCATCGATATCATTGAGTATGTAGATGCTCAAAAAAGAGCTGGGTCTTTAGCTTTTTCATAAAGGTGCAAAGGGACCCTGCAGATAGAATGGAGTTTGGTAGTTTGTTCCACCACCGGGGGGCGACAGAGGAGAAGAGTCTCGTTAGAGACATAGGGCCCTGTTGTCACCATACACTGGTAGAGCATAGTGGATGGGAGGCAGTGTAGACCTGGATGAGAGAGTTTAGGTAAGAAGGAGCCGCTTTTGTTGCTGTTTTGTAAGCGGGCAGCAGAGTTTTAAATTTGATGTGAGCAGTAACTGGGAGCCATTTGAGGGAGATGAACAGCCGAGAGACATGCTGTTTTAGGTTGAAGACGCGCCACGCTGCTGCGTTTTAGATAATCAGCAAGGCTTTGATAGTGCATGTATGTAGGAATACCTGCCAGTAAGTATTTGCAACAGTCAATGCATGATATTACAAGAGCCTGTAGCAGGAGCTGTGTAGCATGCTCTGATGATACTTAAGGTCTCAGCGTCCTGATGTTGTAAAGGGCAAATCGACATGACCGGGCGATCAAGGCCACTTGAATCTTAAATCCCAGAATGCAATGCAACCAGGTGCCCCAATCAAGACCTCAAAGCACATTCCCCCTCCCCCCCACCGCCTGCTGCTTTTGTTATGTGCAGCTATACACTTAGCGCTATGTTGATTTTTCCTTTAAAAAGGATGAAAGGATGACATTTATATTCTGCGTGGGTTTTAAGAACAGGATGTGGTTATCAGAATTACTAAAAATTAGGTCCTATAACAAAACTGCCTTCCACTTGTCAAACCATCAGTCATTATAGAGCAAGTTACCCAGTTAGTGTTAATAAAAAACACTCGACTGAAAATACATTCTGTCAAGGGGATCAGCAAATTCACAGGACCCATTAACAGGAATGTAGTAGGAAACATAATTTACCCGCTGGAAGAAAAAATATATAAAGTGATATGAAGACAGTCGAATGGTTGATCTGAATAGAAATACGGTGCATGTTTGTGTGTGTGTGTGTGTGTGTGTGTGTGTGTGTGTGTGTGTGTGTGTGTGTGTGTGTGTGTGTGTGTGTGTGTGTGTGTGTGCCATGCATGCGTGAGCGGGTGTTTGTGTGTGTTTATGTGCAGACATTGTTCCTGCTGAATGGAGGAGACACTACAAGAGCCCCCTGCTAATTTACATCATGAAAGTGCTAGATACACAAGCTGTACTGAAATGTCTTTGAGCTAGAAAGTAAATCCACCATAGAATTTTAATTCAATCTTTGTGCAGTCAGGATTATAGTATTTCTAAAGGAGGCACATATATATAATCTCATTCAGTGCAGAAAAATGCTGTAATGGAGAGAATATAAAATGTTATTGATCCCAGAGGGGGAAATGTGGTCGTCACGGCAGTAGAGAATAGAAAAGAAGTATCTGCTGATGGAAAACTGGTGCTTTCGAGTGAAAATGTGATGAAGAACCTAAATTAAAGTAAGAAAGAGCTTCAAGATAAATGTCACAACCTTTCCATATAAGCAAAAAATGTATTCAAAGAGGGCTACTTAGGTTTTCAGATTTCTGGGAACGACAAGAAATAAAAGAAAATACTTAATGCCTAACTTGTACCTCTTCTAGTACTATTATATACCTCTATGGAGTCAAAGGATTGCCCTGACAGGAATAAATGGTTCAAAAAGGTTCACAGTAAAAGCTCTTCTTTGTCTCACTTCCTAACAGACTCCCTTGGTGGCCCGTTTCCATCTACGTCACACCGATGTCACCACAAACCCAAAAGGTGTCTGGTTCAAAATAAACTATGGGTGGAAATAAATGTTTGTGTCCTGTTCGACATTATAGATTCACTTAGTATTTCATTATTATTGTGTGTAGAGGATTTATTAATTATCATTAATGCAAATAATGTCATTTATTTTTCACATTTATTGGATTCATTAATTTAATCAATTTATTTGGTAATCTTCATTACAGCCTATAGCAGGTAAGCTCTGCCCACACAATTTAATTGCCTTCAAAAAGCAATCAGCAAAGGAACAGTGAAAACTCAGGATATCAAAATTCATTTAGAAAATAAACGTTAGAGGATAATTAAACATGGAAAAAATAACACAAATGATGTCATCCTAAGCTTTAAAATATAAGTTCAAATGAAAAACAATGTACAACCACAATGCTGATAACAGTTCATTTACAGTTTGTCTTTTTCTTTGTTCTTTAATTAATTCCTGTAATATTTCAAGCATTTATTTTCCAATTCTTCCAGAGATTTCTTTTCAATTTTTAAGGCACCCCTTTGACTCCATATACCTCTTAAGCTATGGGTTTATTTAAGAATTCTTTGGGGGGAAAAAAAAACATCTTCAAATGCCAGATGAAATAAGAAGTGAAAGCGAAGCAGAGGCCTCAGATGTGAAAGCCGGAGGGCTTATCTGTGGATAGGGAAAGGTTTGTGAAGCGTTGCGCACAGAAATGTGATGCACAGGCCTGACCACAATCGTCCATTCAATACCACAAAGGGGCCGTGTCCAGTCTAGAAGATGTAGTTCTATCTTGACCTTTCGGTATAGCGTTCCACCCCTCTGAACAGGCCTCTGTTTGTGGGGGCAGATGTCAGTCAGTCGGCCCCCTGAGGAACAGGAGCACTGCTCAGTTGGCTACCCTGCATATGGTCTAACTGTTAGAGGGGCCGTAGAAATGACTTAAGTAGGGCTAAGAGGAAGTTTTCATTGAAGGAGGGGCCTTTAAGCAGTGTTTGAGAGGGGTCAGAGTTACAGACACTTCAATCAGAGAAAACCTTGGGGTGCTAGGCTTGGCTGGTTGGCCTTTGCTGTTTGATATTTAAAACATTTTATGTGTTCCTCTTTATCTCAAAGGTTTTATTCCTTCTGCAAACACTTATATGTAAAGGCAAAATGTGTTAAATATTACTTTTGGACTAAAACATAAATTAAGAACAATAGGTTCCACTGGACAACAAGGGGGAGGTGAGCAAAGAGAGAGACACTAGTATGGATTCCCTCATGTTCAAAACACTAAACATCCACCCCCACTGGCCTGGAGATACCAGTGTCAATCAACTCAGAGCACAATTACAATCAAATGTGCTATCTATGGGACATGTGACCCTTGGTCTATTTTTACAAGCACACATGGGATGACAGCACTGACTCTCCAGGGAAAAGAAATATGTGTATACATTCTCTCACATCAAAGCCTCGGCTATACTACCCTGTGCTATGCCTCTGTGTTATGTATGTTAAGCTAGCTATAGCATACCTTGATAATACACAGCAGTGTGTCTCTAGTGTAAACAGAAAGGGGCCAAATATTGGTCAGATATAGATAGCCTTTGTTCATATTCTTCCATTGCCTCATGAAAGGCTTCACTGAAAACAAAGACAGGAAGGGTAACCTCTAGTAAAGGACGTGTTTACTGTCAACATGAGGACACAAGAAAACTTGCATTTTCATCTGCCGTCATGTAGAAAGTAAGAGCAAAACAATCGGAGGTCATCTGAAAACACCAAAAAACACCTTGTTGCTTTCAAAAAACTCCTCTAAAGAAAAGAGTTTGAGAAAATAATATCCCAAGTGTTAGTTTTTGTATTCAGAACTGTGAAGAATTACATGAAATCCAAACAGCTTAAATGAAAACTTAAAAACAAAAGATTTTCATTGTCAGTTGATTGTTGTAGGGTGAAGGTTATGCTCATAGGGTAAAATTTAATCCACGATAACATACTGTTCCCAGACTTATTATGGCGATAAGTTATACACAATGTAAGCATTATGTTTTCCAATATATTTAAGCTATCAAAGGCAGAACTTGACACAAGCCCCCCCTCCCCTACAAAACAGGCCTTAAAGGATAATACTGCTTTATTTCAACTCAACATATTTCCCATAAATATGGCAATTGTAGCTCTATAGGTGGTGCTTACTTTGCACATGCCAGAGGCCAGTTGTCAGCTTCGCCTGGTTAGTTATTTTATGTTTCTGCCGTCTTACCTAGCAGCTGTACTCCGCGGGTCAGACCGTAAACATCAATGAGTGCCCAGAGGGGCTCAGCTGTGCGGACTCCGCTGAAGAACAGCATGGGACTGGATTCATTAATGCGATAGAAGACTCTCCCCTTCTTGTCGACCCAAAAGGCGATGATGTTGCCCTCATTGGCAAACTCCTCGGGCAGTGCTTTGGCCCAGAAGCCGCTCTGTGACACCAGGTCGGGGCAGGCGTACTTAGGTAGGTTGTCAGGATTTATCCTGGAGGGGTCTTTAGAGGTGAAGCCCAGACGTAGAGCCCCACTCCAGCAGCACTGCTTTTTAGTGATCTGCAGACAAAAAACAAACAAACAAACAAAAGCTTATTTCCTAGAGACACTGTAAAAAGTGCAGGCTTTTAATTGACATAATCCACAACAACTCTCACTACTTCATTGTTTTTAAATGACCTTCATTGAAGTGGAGACCAAGAAGTTGAATTGCTATTCACAGTACTGTTGTTATAATTATCCAACAGTTGGAGGTTTTGCGTACAACCATAAAAAAAATACACATCCTGTCAAGATGTTTTCAGGATTCAGGGAAAATCTCACACGAGTCCTTCAAATCTGGGATATGAAGGAGGCAGTAAAAATGCCAAGGAATATCCGAAAGGTTCTGTTTTAAGATTTATTTTTTCCTCTGTCATGAAGCTTCTGATGTTGTGTGAAGCACTTTGAATTGCCTTGTTGTTGAAATGTGCAGCAGTTTTCCTCAACATTGAACTCAGCTCTGCTTGGGGTAATATTTCATATTGATCTGGGTTGCGTAATATAAATCCAGAGAATGTAACAACTTGCTGGTTTGGCTTGGTTGGTGCATGACACCCCCCCTCCTGTCTCCCTTAAAGATACCCCATCCAAAAGAAGGCAAACAAAAAATAGCTAGCTGACAGTATTGTTGTTAGCAAGGAATTGGTTGATTGCTAATGTTAGTTGTTGTTTATTGCCATCTCAAAAGGTTGTTAAAATCGTGTTTCACCTTCAATTATGGCCCAGCGTTACTCACTTATTCCACCATCTGTTGTATTTTCACTTGATTCTGTGAGAAGAATTTCTAAGCTTACACAATAAAATGGAAAAGGCATGAAGCTCACAGCATTTTTAGCTGAAAAGTTGTAGATGGTATCTAGTATGATGAAATACAGCCTAATCTACAGATCCTCGGAAGTTTCACCAGCCATTGTTTTTTCAGTTTCTGATTAATCAACAAGTATAGTAAAATGTTGAAGATTTCTCAAGTTCCTGTACTTAAAATGATCCGTTGATTTCCAGGTAGCAAAATGTGTAGCAGCACTTGGTCACACCCTTTGTGTGACATTTGAGGAAAATAGCTGCCGTGTATACAGTAATTTGTGCGACTTCATATTTTAAGTTAAATGCTCAGATAAAAACAGAATAATACAGTTTAAAAGCTTAAAGATGTTTATTAGCTCAAGCGCTTCTCTCAGACTAAAAATACCTTGAGGCGGACTTGCTCATACAGAGCGATGGGCCTGTTGCAGAATGTGATGGCGTTGCAGAAACTGGCCTGTCTCTTAGCGGTCTTCTGGGTGACGTCCATGACAATTTGGGATCCCTTGGTGTTTGGATGGAAGAGAAGCGGGCTGAGGGGAATTTGCCCGCCGATGATGCCACACTGAATGGGCAGACACCTTTTGGGTTTGTGGTGACATCGGTGTGACGTAGATGGAAACGGGCCACCAAGGGAGTCTGTTGGGAAGTGAGACAAAGAAGAGCTTTTACTGTGAAACAAAAAAAAAGTCCTAATTAGAAACAGAAGGTTAAGACTGTCACTGTAATTACTCCCTGATGTTTTGTTAGAAATCTGATGAAACGTTTTTGCATCACAGAAAAATAACCTCCGATATTACAACATAATCTAAGATTTCTGAGTTCTTCTGTTAGGGTTCTTTGGTGATTATTTCTGAGCAATGGAGTAATGAGCTAATCAGCAATAATCACACCGGGCTCTGCAGGGTGAAAGGCAAATCTCAACACAGGTCAAGATTGCAAAACATGTCAGACCGAAATTATGATCCTCTGTTTTGTGCATACTGAACTTTCCCCAGACAAACAGCACTTTAGAAAGCCAACCTATTTCATCAAGTTTATCCACTGTGACTGCATAAGTTGGTTGCTACATTATTCTTGCAAATAACTATCCCAAAATTCAATCACAAATCCCTGGCAAGACAGAACACAACACATATCACACCCTTCGAACCAAGACGTTCAACGGCTTGCAGTATTTCTGAAGAAGGCTCATCCTGCTGCTTAATTCTTGGTAGTAAATGTGTCTGAATGCAGTCTGCTTCAGAGTAGCTGAGGGTGGTAAGATCGAGGACTTGCACAGCTACTAGAAACAGCATTTACTGGAGCAATTTGAACAGATTTATCAAAGCTGGTTTACTTCCAGATTGAAATTGTTAGATTAGCATTCTGAAGCCGAGCTGAGATGAATTGCTTCAACAGAGACGCTGATCCTGCTTCAACATGTTATAAATCATCATTCTGGGAATGTCAAATGATTTCCAGAAGTTTTTTAGTATTTGTGTTTGGACATTCCAGCATTTTGTGGTGAAGACGATTCATTTATCTTCTGTTGTGCCCACATTCAGTCAAAATGTCTGCTCCGCTCTGTTGTATGTGTATGTAGTCCAAAACTTCCCTCAAACTCTCACCTGCATACTTTGTATTCAGCAGTGGTCAACTTATGGGCCAAAATAGAAATGTTGTTGGCAGAAGTAATTGTGATCGTGGGTTGAGAGATAGATTCCCATTCCTGAGACAAAGCTCTCCCAGCTGTGTTGCATTATGGGCAATTCAAACTGCTGTCGGTGTAGGAATTGGTGGGTCTGATGTACTGGCAAGAAGAAAACCCCGTCTTTTCAATTCTGAGTGATTGATACGTCTGCATAAACATCAGCAAAAACCTGGTTTACGATGATGTATCAGCACGTTGATGCCTCTCTGCAATCAAACTCCACTCAACTATTCTGGAAACATTTCAACAAAAAAATGTTTGGCTACCGTTCTATGAGAGTCCAAAGCCACAGACCATCAATCATCAAAGAAATATAAGATAATTCTGCCTCCAGTATTTCAGTATTTAGAGTTTAATTCAGCCCTATGGCAGGTGGTTGCTTTCAAAAGTAAATGAAAATAATTGTAAAAGTCAAAGAAAAAACAATTTACATTAAGTTTGTTGAGTTCAGGACTCACTGTCATTATCACAGAGGACAGTTTGACAAACAGGTGAAAGCTAACACTGGCAGCACCAGCTGTCCTGTGGAGTCCTGATAAGAGCAAGCAGCCAGTTCTAACGCTTTGTGCTCTCTCTCTCTCCTCCTTTGTCTGCCTCCTCTTCCTCTCATCGGTGTTTATCTCATAATGACCCATCCAGTTTTTTCACCCTGCAAAACGTGTGTACTGTTAAATCTGGCCCCCATCCTAAGAGCGCGGTCGAGGCCTTTTGTCTTAGGCTGGGCCACAGGAGAGCAGTTGTTGAATGTGGCTCACATGGTCCCGGACAGATTGAGCTGAATGCATTATCGGGCTGTAAAGGGGGCGCAGCTGCTGTGGAGAGAAGCAGGCTATGTGTGAATTCATGTTCCTTAGCAACCCCTCGTATCTAAAAGGTCTCGATCATTGCACTCATTCACTCTGCGGCTATCGACTGGGATACAGCAGATGCCTTTTGTTCACTCAGATACAACGACGATATATTTAAAGTCAAACATTTAAGCTTTTTCATTTATTTGCTTGTACGCACTCTTCGGAGAGTAAACAGTGGAATAAAACAGCAAACCCAACATCTTTCATCCTCATTGATCTTTTAATCCTTTGTTTTAACTTACACCTTGACCAAGAACTCTTTCTTTAAGACTCAACGGCTTTGCAGCTATTTGTATTTGCAAGTCAATGGAAGGAGCTTCAGTGGATTAAGTGTATTAGAGCTTGGGGACATTTTGACCTTTCCTGATACCCAGGTTGAACAGTAAGAGTGAGAGTGTAGTGTCTACTGTATGTTTGATCTAAATAAACATTCAGAAAATATGACATTTCCTCAAGAAACAAGTCCTCACCTTCTTAAATTGGTCACCCCCCCTTCCCACCTGGACATCATTTTATCTACCCATGCAGTTATAATTATATCAATAACATATCATGCATTTGTACAGCCTGAGATACGAGAAACATTTACAGTTCTGATTGAGTTCTACTGTGAGTCTGGGCCTACTATTGGGAAGAATTTGATGATATGTATTTGGCAAGATACAGTGATTACAATTCAATAAATTGAGCTATTGTAGTTAGGGCGCCCTAGTCTTTAAGATGATAAATTATTTATTTTAGGTCAATTATAAAACATTTCTTACATTATCACAAAAAATGATTTAGCATTACTCAGTATATGTGTCAGTATATTTCTTACAGCCTTACAGAATGAGCACTCTAGCATTGGATAGGGAAAGAGGAACTGTTAGTAGTTGAATCAACTTGTTAAATTCATTCAAATCAAAACTCAAAACTCACCTCTTTTCCCTGGCATTTAAAACAAGTTGAAACAGACCCCATTTAGCTTAGGTATGTATCTGTATGTATGCATGTGCATAGAGGTAATGTAATATGTACGTAGGCTGAATGTATAAGCATATATATATATATATATATATATATATATATATGTTTGTGTGTGTGTATTTATGTGTATGTATGTGTATGCACATGTATATATATATGTTTGTGTGTGTATTTATGTGTATGTATGTGTATGCACATGTGTATATATATATATATATATATGTTTAAGTGTTAACAGCATTTCAGTCATTCCATGTTGTAATATTAAGTTTTCAAGACATGCTATTGTCTTTCACGAGAAAGCATGTGTACTTATCTCAACAAGAGCTGCACCTACTTGGGTACAGTTTAAGTCTTCAAATGAACATGTGATGCTTTACCTTATGGAGCAGACATAATAAATCGACGGTTAAACAACTGCCAACTACCAAACGCCTACACGTGCAGGTTAATTTCAGAAGCAGAAATAATTGAGCATTAAGCCCCCAAAGAACCAGTTCTTTCCTCATGGCAAAGTTACTCAATTCATCTAAAATGATTGTTTTTATATAAAGATGTCTTCTATCCTGTATGCACTCTGCTAATACTCACTACAAAACACAGCTCAATATGAGACTCCATGTGAATGCTAATGTCAGTCTGGTGGCTGTGTATGTTATTAGGCAACAGTTTGCTATCTAACAATTCCACAAATGTAAAGGGTACATGTCAGTGTATTCTGTCTGTAACTAAATTTAAAGTGAATTGTTTTGACATACATTTTCTACATATATGTGTTACTGCACTTAGTGGACACTGTGGCAGTTCCTCTACTGTTTAGATAAGTGTCTTACTAAAATAAGTCCCCACGTATAAATTTAGAAGCTGTCCTATCAGAATGTGTTGTGTTTCATTGGCTCATAAATAACCTACATTAAAACACTCCAACACCCTTATTTCGCTATATGATGTATTGCCACTGCCAGAGGACTATAGACCTTAGAGCATGTCACAACACGATGTTTAAGCACTATGCTCTAAAGAGCTTTGAGTCATTCTGTGGATGTGAACTCCTTTATTTCAACCCAGCAGTTCTTCAGTTTAAGATTCACTGTTAACTCTAAAATCCCATGTTGAAGTTTGAAGTTGTTAGACAGACCAAAGCTGCCTCGAGCCTGACGTCTGTTCTCACTCCTCTAATTACCTCAGCAACACAAATCCTTGAGTGTGCTCATGTCCGCAGTGCCCAAGATGTGACCTCTTGATGTAAAAGGCTTGAAATGGCTCCTTTAAACATCAATCTGTCAGGTTCCTCTTATAAAAAACAGCGCTGTGTGTTTACTATCAGGGACAAGCACTTTTAACAGCCTCACTGGAGCCTTGTTACCAAAGGTCAAGGATGTCTCATTATAATCAAACAGGGTAAAAGGTCTGTATAAGTCTGCCCCATAGTGTAGAGGTCTTTATCCCACTAATAACAACACACAAACACACAACAGCTCCGATCCCTCATCACAATACACAGGCCTGTGTGCGACTAATACCTGTCATACTCCAATGAACATCTCTGTGGAGCAGCAAGCTAATCTCTCAGCACTTTATAGGCTGACTACATTGAGTGAGGGGTGAGCTGTGTGTCTGTATATTTGCTTTTTTTTATCAAGTTGTTTGGCCATTACTCACCTGCCATCAGCTAAGTGGTTTACTATGCAAAGAGGATTTTCATAGATGTTGAGAAAACTGTTCTAAGGTTTGGTAGACAAATGACTTCCTGGTTTATTTTGCACAGAAAGAAACTGAAACATGCTCATTCAATAAGAGTTAAGATGGTTTATTTGAAATCAGGTTGATTATTATTGGAAAATATTGAATGCAGGAAGGTCTGGAACTACACTTGGTGCATTGATTTGCAAAGGAATACAAACTACTTCTAAGGGTACCAATCAAATATGGTGTGTTTACCATAGCAACAACTCTCATTGAAGCTTACTTGGTGTCAAATTTGTTACTGGATATGCAGTAAGTGCAGGGAGGAGGGGGAAATCTGGTAGTACGTCCCCCTTGCAGATTAGTCTATTTGGCTACTTTCGTCCTCCAAATAAGGACAATTTTGCAGTCTGCATTTTTTTTTTTTTTTTTTTACAGAA